CACACACACACACACACACACACACACACACACACACACACACACACACACACACACACACACACACACACGCAGGGGGGTTAGAGGAGGCAGAAAGAAGGAGAGAGGAAGGGTAAGAAGGTAGAAGTTGGATAAAAGTTATGTGTAGGAAGAGGAGCTGAGAGTGAAGGAGGAGAGAGGTAGGGATTACACAAACACGCATACGCGAACTCGCACGGAGGATGGAGGAGAGGCAGAGAGAAGAGAGGGAAGGTGAAGAGGCATAAGCTAAAAGAAGGCAGAAGGGTGAAGGTGGCAGAGGGGAGAGCGGGGAGATGGAGGAGTCGGAGGGTCTGATGAGGGTGCTCTGAGCACGATTGCAAAGGAGTTAGGGGGGATCAGAAGAGTGCTAGAGAGAAGGGAAGGGGGGGAGAAGGAGCGGGGAGTACTGAGGAGAGAGGGCTGGAGAGTACGGGTGAAAGGAGCGAGCCGGGAAGCAAGACGAAAGAGGAAAAGAGTAGTGAGGCGGAGTGGTGGAAGGAGGAGATGAGAAGAGAGGTCGCAGGATGGAGAGGTGAAAAGGCGGAGGAAGCTGCAGCAGAAGAAAGGAAGACGTCGAAGGGGGTTAAAAATGGCGGAGAAAAAGAGAGAAGGATAGTATGGGACAGAGGGGAGATGATCGAAAGATGGGTGGAGGAGGAGGCAAGAAAAAGAGTAAGGGCGGCGGGGGCGAAAGGGGGGGCTGACCTGGGGGAGGAACAGAGATGGAGGAAGATAGAGGAGGTGGAAAGGGTAGAATGTAAGAGGAAAGGGGAAGGGTCGCAGAAGGAGGCAGAGAGAAGAGAGAGCGAAGAGAGTGAGAAGACAAGGAAGCTGAAAGAGAGGGTGAAGAGGTTGGAGGAGGAAAGGGAGCAAAGAGAGAGAAGGAAGAGGAATGTAGTTTGGAGGGGGTTGGATGGGAGGGACGCAGAAGAAAGGAGGGATCTGATGGAAAGGGTGGCAAAGAAGGTGTTGGGTAAAGTGCCGAAGATTAGAAGGGTGTGGGAAAGGAGAGGGGAGGGAGGGAGGAATATGCTGATAATGGAGATGGAGGATGAGAAGGAGAGAGCGGATTTGTTAGGAAGGTATGGGGAATTCAGGCAGAGGTGGGGGATAGGCGTAGACGAGGACTTGACTATGGAAGAAAGAAAAGCGAGGTTACTTGAGAAGGCAAGGGAGGAGAGGGAAAGAGGTAGGAGAATTAGGGTAGAAAACAGGAGAATTTGGGTGGAAGGAAAGGAGATTGTGTAAAACGAGGATGAAGGGAAATGGGA